CCCTGGTGCCGCGGCCCGTCTTCTCCCGGCTCTACCTGGAGGCCGAGCCGCAGCTGGCCTCGCTGGAAGGTAGGAGACCGCGCTCCCTCGGCTTCCCCCGCGTGCGGCTGGCCGGCAGGGTCAGGGTCCCGCGGACAAGAATCGTGGGCGGCGCCGGGCTGAAAGTAAAAGTTTTAGCCAACAAAGTGCGCGGCCCAATATTGGGAGGAACAGGAAGAGGAGGAGGACTCCCTCCGCTCTGCTGTTCCTGGCGGTCTTTTCCGACGCTGGAAAGCTTTGGGAAGAATTTCTAACACACCTTTGACCCTCTAGATATTTGTTTTCTCTGTCCTGTGATTCGGGGCTGCGTTTTGGTAAAGGTGTCCAGGTAATTTCTTAGGGTAGCAGCCACGAGGAGAACGCTTGAGACACTTTTAAGAACTGGGAGCAATCTTTTACCGAATTATCTCATGCCAGGAATAAATAAATCGTCCTCAGGCTTGGGGATGCCTTACTTTAGGTTTTACTTAATTATCCAGAGAATCAAATGGTTGGAGTTTTTTTTTTTTTCTTCTTCTTTTTTTTGGGTACTGGGATCGAATTTAAGACCTTGCGCTTGCAGGGCAGGTGCAGTGCCACTGAGCTACATCCCCAGCCCTGGAGTTTCTGATAGCTGTGTATTTTTATGTCGACAGTAAGCCCACAACAATCTACAATACGAGACAGCTGCAGTTTCAGTATTTCTTTTTGGAAGCTTATGCCTTATTTATTTATTTATTTTTGAGACAGGGTCTCGCTTTGCAAGCTAAGGCTGGGCTTGAACTCACAGTGATCTTCTGACAAGGGCCGGGGATTTAATGCTCAGTGGTTCCACCCCCTGCCTCACAAGTGCAAGCTCCTGAGTTTGATTCCCGGTACAAAAAAAAAGCCAAAACCCCATATACAACACAGTGCTCTTCTGACAGTTCTGCACCCTAGCAGGGACGACTCCCTGCCTCTCTTTAAAATGTCCTCACCAGCCGGCATGTGGCGCGTGCCTGTCATCCCAGCATTCTGGGAGGCTGAAGCGTGAGGATCGCGAACTGGAGTCCAGACTGGGCAATGTAGCAATTTAGTGAGATCCTGTCTCAAAATGTAAAATAATGAAAGGGAAGTTAGGGATGCTGCCCTGTATGGGCACACTGGGTTCAATCCCCAGTACTGTGAGAGCAAACAAAAAACAAGCAAATGAAGTTCTTATTAAATTAGCTTTGCAAGGGGCACAGGTAAGGACCCAACAGAGCTGGACCTGGGTCTAGGAACACACGACGTTCTGGTCCAAACTACATATTAGGAAAACCAAAAAGTCTTTGGTATTCACACAGAAAATACCTGTGTTTTCTGGCACCTGGATATAGCGGAGTTCAGAAACCCTTAGCAAAGATGTTAGAGCCTGCATTTTGGGGCAGCTGACTCTTAGGGATTCCTGAATTCTGTGGTCTCCTCCTTCCTTCCTCGCTTTGCTAAATGTCTCCATAAACCCAGCCCTCAGCCGCGCCCTGACTCCTGCTCGGCTGTGGCCCTCCGTCTGTCTGTCTGTCTGTCCCCCCACCCCCATCACCTTTTCCTTCTCTCCTCCTGGGCTGTCCCCAGGCAGCCGCGTTGCAGGTGGTTTTTATGGCCCGGATGCTGGGGGACCGAGCACCCTTGGGATCCAGTTCGGTATCTGTGTGGGTGAAGCAGCAGACTCTGAACCCTTTGTTCTTTGACTCAGGACTCTCACCCAGCACCTCCCTCCCAGGCAGGAGAAACTTTTTACACCTTGCCGGCTTTGTCACGAGGAAGGCACCGCGCTGTGGGCCAAGCGTGTGTGTTAATGAAACTCCTCACAGTGCCAGCCCTGTCTCGTTTCTCCACTTGGGGTTCTGGCTCTCAGGCTCCCGGGTTCCCTGTCACCACCCTGACCCCTGCGGCCCGCAGGCTTTGTCTGCCACCCCCGAAGGCCGCGCCCCACAGGGACCTCGGTCCACTCCACGTCTGGTTGTCTGCCGGTGCTCAGGCGGCCTCCGACCCCATCAAAAGCCCTGGAATGTCCGGGGCAGACCTCTGACCTTTAGTCCTGCTTCTTGCCGCCCGACTGGAAGCTATTTGACTCTCTGGGGCTAAGATCCTCCTGGCTCTTTCTTTCCCAGAGCCTGAATCCCTCTCCTCTGGGGCTGCAGAACAATGCAGGACTGTTCAGTTCCCGCACCCTCACCCTGGCCCGGCTGGGGGCTGCTGTTTCTCCTCTGGGATTTTCTCTCTCTTTTCTGCTCCATAGAAGATGCCCACAATGCAAGGCGACTCCCTGGAGGTGCTGGAGGATTGGCTTACAGACGCATGGCAGCTTTACAGACAGAATATCATCATTATTATTATTAATTATCAAGTCAGGGTCTCACTCTATAGCCCAGGCTGGCCTCCAACTCACAGCAGTCCTCCTGCCTCACCCTCCTGAGTGCTGGGATTACAGTTGTACGCCACCATGCTCAGCCCCTTGAGCACCTTTAACCAGGTGGGCATGTGGAGGTTATGTGCCTGGGGCCTGTGGTTAGATCACATCAGGAAATTCTGCACCAGCTCCGAGGCCCTTTTCTTGACCGCCCTCTCACAATTCTAGACGACCTCCGGGCCCAGTTGGGTCCCCTTCATTTCCAGAGCTCTGCTTTTGTGTGAAGTGTTTAGCTGGGAGCCTGCGGTACAGCGACCAGGGGTCAGAGACCCGTGTCCTCCAGGAACTTGGGGCTGCCCCAGGAGGCCCAGGCCACAGTAGTGATGGAGCAGAGGCCAGGGAGTAGTGGGGTTTCCAATTCAGGCTCTCCTGACCATCTCTACCCTCCCATTCTTCCCAAGATACTGTTTTCCTTAAATGGTTTCTGAAAGCCACAGAGCAATGGGCCCTATTCTAGAATGTTCTGGAATCACCTGGAACATTCCGGAGACCTCCGGAATGGCTATTTCATGTATATATGTGTGAGACACTTAGTTGTACTGATTATTTAGAGCAATGTATAGATGCCGCCTTTCTGTTTTTAAGTTTCGAGACAAGGGATAGGTATGTTACTAAGTTGCCCAGGAACCTGGAACCTGCCCATCCTCCCGAGGCCTGGATGGCAGGGGGGCTCCCCAGGTTTTAGTCTCTGGGATCCTGGGCCCTGGTTTCCTTGGACTTTCTGCGGAGAGGACAAGACCCGGCCTGGATGGCAGCTGGCTGCTTAAATCATCGCTCTTCTTCCCTACTTCCAGGGGGCAGCCGAGTGGACAATGGCGAAGAGGAAGAAGAGGAAGAAGGAGGGCTGGAAACCAATGGAGCCCCGAACCCCTACCCGCTGGCTCCTCCTCCTGAGGGGTGCTGTACCATAGACGGTAAGCCTCTATCTGCCCCCTTCTCAATTTTAATTCTTACTATTTTGAGACTTACAACTTGTGGCAATCATCCTGCCTCAGCCTCGCAAGTACTGGTAGGCACACAGGCGTGTGCACCATGCCCAGACCTGCCCTGGGCGCCCTAGGCGCCCTCCATTCCCGGCTTGTATCCAGGCCCCCTGGGGCGATGCTGTCCTCCACAGGTGGTTCGGGACCCAGAAACGCACTTCTGGGAGTCGGTGCTTTGAAACCTAGAACACGCCCTCACTCCAGGGCCGCTGCCACAGCCCACTTACTCGGAACTGGTTACAAGGAGCACAATTTCTCTTAGTAATTCACTGCGGAACGAGCAGAACCCATGGTGGGATTGAAGATATGGTGAATGTTTAAAATAAAGTGAAACGAATTTTGTAACGTTATTACAATGTCTTTATGAGGTGTGGTCAAGATCCAGTGACTGCCACCTCCCACCGCCCCATGGAAAGACACGGTGCTGCGTCCTCACCCACTTAGTCACTGGGTCTGGTATCGCTGCGGCTCCCGGCTCTTTGGGAAGTCGCAGTGACCACGAAAGGGAGATGCTCTGAATCCACTCAGGACGTGGAGGCAGCCAGGACAGCGCAGCTAAAGACCCTCAGGAGAGAGGACTCCGGAGCTGCTGCAGGAAGTGGCCAGGACGACGGGACGAGTGTGTTCAGAGCTGTGGGGGTGTTGAAGGGTTCGTGGGAGTGTGGCCTTTACAGTAACACATTTGTAAAAATGCAGACACTATTGCAATCACACCTCATGTTATTTAGCTCTTGCTCTGGAGATGTGGAAACAGATGATTCAAGAGCCCCCTGTTGTTGGGGAGCCAGATGCTTTGCACTCCGAGGGCTGGGTGCTGGGGCCAGGACAAGCCAGCATGCTCAGAGTGGAGGAAAGTTTCCAGATGCAGGTTAAGAGTTTCCGGGAGGCTTCCTCTATTGGGGTTTTGCAGGATTTGTAGGAGTTTGCCAGGAAACTTCTATGGAAAAAGCAGAAGGTGGGATGCATGGGAGGTGTGGTATTGCCCATCTGGGGAACATTACTGATTAGGGGGTGGCCCAGAGTGTGCAGGAGTGATCAGACTGTGCCGGTGCTGTGTCCCCTGCTGGGGACCCGGACTGCCCCCTTGCTTGGCCTCGGGATGCTGTTCAGGGGCAGGGACATCCTGGAGGAAACAAAGCAAACTGGTGGCACCTGCCTTGGTCATGCGTCCTCAGGTGGCCAGAGCCCAGAGGGCAAAGCCAGGTAGAGCTGAGCCCTCCCCCTCTCCTACCTTGTGGGACCCAAAATTTTTTGAACCCAGAATATATTGAAAAGGTTCTGAAGGTATAGAGGGCTGGACATGGTAGAGCTCGCCTACGATCATTACACTCTGGGAGGCTGAGGCAGGAGCATCGCATGTTGCAGCCCAGCCTGGGCCACTTAGTGGCTTAGTAACACCCTGCCTCGAAATTTAAAAAGTAAAATAAAAAAACGGCCAGGGATGGAACTCAGTGAGAGGGTCCTGAGTTCAATCCCCAGTACGAAACAAAACAACAAAAGGGGAAAGAGGACAAGCCCTCTGTGCTCACACCTTTTCTGTGTATGTAAAATGCAACATTAAAAATATGTGAAATCACCCCCGATTTCTTATGGGTTTATGTTGTCTACATTAAAACACACATTGTTTTGTTTTTATTTTTTGAGACAGGGTCTCTCTTGCCTGGGCTGGCCTTAAACTCACAGCGATCCTCCTGCCTCAGCCTCCCCAGAGCTAGGTTTACTGGTGTGCAGCAACTACACCTGGCTGTCTACATTTTGTTTGTTTTTTGAGGCTGGGTCTCCCTGTGTAGTTCAGGCTGGCCCTGGACTCCCTTTGTAGCCCAGGCTGGTCTCGAACTCACAGTGATCCTCCTGCCTCAGCCTCCCAAGTGTTGGGATTACAGGTGTGCGCCACCATGCCCAGCTGTGGTCTACATTTTAATTTGTCATCATTTGTGTAATTGTTTTCCCCTGTTAGGCTTCATTTGCATATTAATGTGTATTGAGCAGCAACAGGAGCTAATTTCTGGGGTTGGTGTCATGCATAACTAGTCATGATTTCGGAGTATGTTTTATCCATCCACGAGGACACTCGTCCTGGAGCTTGGTGCACACGTGTAATAATCCAAACTCTTTCACCCTCTTCACTCGACCCTCTGGTCTCTAGGTGCAGCCATTTTCCTACCCACGTCTCAAGCTTGACCTTCTTTAAGGCAGGGCGCTGCCCCACAGTTGTGATCGTCTCTCTCAGAATTCATTTTGCGCCCTAACCCAGAGTAAGGGCTGCTCCTGTGTTTGCTGCGGTGACCCCGGCTCCGAGGCCCCTGGGCTGCGTGTGACCTTGCCATCCCTACCAGGGTTCTGCCAGGCTGGGAAGGACCTGCGCCTCGTGTCCGTGTCCAGCGAGCCCTTGGAGGTCCCCGCGGGCTTCTTGCTGGTGGGCGCCAAGTCCCCCGGGCTGCCCGGCCACCTGCTGGTGTGCGCCGTGGACCAGCGCTTCCTGCCGGATGACAGCGGCCACAACGCCCTGCTCGGTGAGTGCCCCCTGGGGGACCAGGGCTGTGGCGGTGCCTCGGGTGGCACAAAGACTTACCAAGGGCTAAATAAGGAGAGAAGAGTTGGCTTCAATCGGTGGACACTGCCAAGGGGGAGAGCGGGTGAGTCCCAAGACGGGAGTCCTATGGCCACGGCGAGAGGTTGGAATTTACTAAGGGACTGAAAGTCCAGCGCAGTGGTGCACGCCTGTAATCCTAGCACTTGGGAGGCTGAGGCAGGAGGATCGCTGAGAGCCTGAGACCAGCCTGAGTTGCATAGAGAGATGTGGGCTGGGTTAGTAAATGTAGATGTCTCAGAAATGTGCTTTCTGGGGCACCCTGTTCCTCGTTAATCTTCCAGGAACATCTGCACCGTGACTAGACTCTCGTACAGAAGTGTTCTGAATTCACAAGGTCGTTTGCCCTGGCCTCCTCACGGAAGGCCCCTTCTCACAGAGAGAGACTGGTCTTTATCTCCTGCTGTTCAGGCAGCACTTGAGTAGGGTTTCTTAGAGTGCTTGGGGGCAGGATTGGGGGATTTAACTCTTTTATTGCCAATAGGTCATTGCTGCAGATTGGGAGGAACGTGGGGGTTATTTTAAAATGTGACTGTCTTCCTGTAATGGCCACCATCCCACTGTCCAGCTTTTCATGAATGTGTCACGTACCTCCCTTCCCAAGTGGCCACCTGTGTGACAGGTGGGTCACCTGGCTGGCCTTGAATGCCCAGGTGGTGGCTGGGGCAAGGGGCCCATGTGCATTCTGCCCCTTCCTTTCCAGGCTCCGCCATGGACTCTGGCACAGATTCCCCTGTAATTTTTTTTTTTTTTTTTTTTTTTTTTCTTCATTAAATTTGAGTCAGGGTCTGGCTAAGTCACCAAGTTGCCCAGACTGAGCTGGAAGTTGCGACTGTCCTGCCTCAGCCTCCCAGAGTGCTGGGATGACAGGCATGCACCACCAGGCCTAGCTATTTCTGCTCTCATTCTCTGTATTACAAGGCCCTGTGTCATGGTCAAGGTCAGGAGCTGTAGATTTCCCTCTGGTGTTGACATCCCTAGCTTTTTTTGCGGGGGCAGTGTACCAGGGATTGAACTCAGAACCTTGCGCTTGCGAGGCAGCTGGCTGAACCACTGAGCTAAATCCCTGGCCCCGCTAGCTTTTAATTTAGAACAATCATGCGTTCAGCACGTTCCGCGATATTGGGGTATCCTGAGTTTGGACTGAGTCTGGTACTGCATCTGACCTGGGGTCTCCAGGTGGCCCTTGGGCCACCATCTGGAAGTGCGAGGCGATTGCCCAGCCTTGTGGCTCTGGGTCCATGGGGGGAAGGGCTGACCGGGACCCGCTCCGTGCAGCCACCCAAATCCAACTGCGGGACTCTGGGGACAAATCTGGGTTAAACCCTCGTGGCCTCTTGCTTATTTCCCACGTGCACCAGGACTTAAAAACCCCAGGGGGGGTCCTTCACGTGGCCCCCAAGCCGGTGGCTCTTGCCCCGGTGGGTTCTTGGGGCACATTTATGTCGCTGGTGTACAGGAGGGGGATGCAGGGAGCGGTGGTGGCTGCGGCAGAGGTGCCTGGAGCCCACGGCGTATTGGGATCCAAGGGACCCTCCACTCTGGGTGGCCCCTGGGTGGGCGCTGGCAGGGAAGCCGGCTTAGCTAACTGCTCACCCAGAGCTGACCGTGCGGGGTGATGACTGCGTTCCTCCTTTAAAGCAGTCTCTATGCCCCGCTTGGGAGCCCACCCGGCCTGTTCAGGTTTCCTGCAATTAAACCCGCAGGCTGCAGGGCCCAGGTGGCCCGTTTCAGTGACCGAGATGCGCATCGGGGTTTTGCCAGGAAATCCCCCTCAACCGGCTTGGATGTCAGAGAAGAACACAGGGGGAGGTCAGAAGGTGGATGGTTAATTAAGGAAAACTGATTGCACTGAGACACTTTGCCAAGGACAAGGGGATGCGTGTGTTGGCAGTGAGGGGAGGATTTGGAGAGGGATTCGTGGCAGTGTGGCTTTTATTGTCATGAATTATTAAAAATAGATATTTACTCTGCTTTTAGATCACACCCCCTATCTGGCCGGAAAACAATCAGTCATTTCCCAATACATCTTCCAACCCCAGCCTGTTAACCCCAGTGCTTCCCTGAAATCCCAGGGTTTAGGAAGGCTGAGGCAGGAGAGTCACAAGTACGAGTCCCGCCTAGGCAACTTAGACCTTGCCTCAAAATAAGAAGTCAAAATTTTAGAAAGGGGGCTGGTAGAACTCCCTGGGCTCGATCTGCAAAATAAATTTAAAAATTGTATAACTAATTCCTGGGAGGCACCTCTCTCCCAGAAGATCAGCGGTCCTGGGGATCACTGGGGCAGGCGGGTTTGAGCTGAAAATGGGTGGGATTTTGCCAGCTGGACAATATCATCAGAAGCAGCTCAGCAATACTCAAGGCTGGTGTGTACTGAGCATTCAGCCTGTGCCAGAGACGGTTCGAAGGTAAAATGACCAGTGAGGTGTGTACACTGCGACCTGGGCATGGTCTAGGAAGCGCTGAACACACAGAGAGGTTGACTGGCTTGCTGAGGTCACACAGCAGGCAGCTGCGAGACCTCAACCTGGACCCTGTGGTCCTGTGCTGCGTCCTCACCCCGTGAGGCCAAGGGGCCAGGGCCGAAGGTGCTGGGAAGAGGCTGGACTCTGGTGGGAGCTCCGCTGGGGGCAAGCACGAGCAGAAGTTGGGTCCTGGAGGGGACAGAGTGGGCCCGCCGTCCGCCTGACGTGGGGTCTCCTCTTCTCCCCGGGAGGGTTTCTAAAAGCAGATTCCAGACCCCGTGTCACCTGGTCTGTGTGTAAATGTTCCAGGTGTGTCTGTCTCTAAAGGACAAGGGCTTTCTGTCAGAAGTCTCATGCTACACATTCAGATTTTATCTTACCTTTCTTTTTTTTTAGTAGTTCGGTTTTTTTAAAAAAAATCAAGACCCAGATAAGTTTTTCTTAAACCAATTGGTTGCTTCAATTTAAGTTTTTATTTTTTGGGTTTTTTTTTTTTTTTTAGATAGGGTCTCACTATGTAGTTGAGACTGACCTGGAACTCACTGTGTAGCCCAGGCTGGTCTCAAACTCACAGTGATCCTCCTGCCTCAGCCTCCCGAATGAGTGCTGGGATTATAGGCGTGCACCACCACACCTGGCCAAGTTTTTTTTTTTTCAATAAAGGTCCCTTTTCCTTATTTCTCTCTCTCTCCATATGTGTGTGTGTGTATGTGTGTGT